CTGTAAGCAAACTAAATATAGTAAAGGACTTTTGCAAAGAACTCTAAACATTTCAATATATGAAATTTTAATATAAATATCTATATCTATTGGTATAAGTTTGTTGTATATTACAGATTTAAATAATATATTTTTTGTGTTTGCTTTGAAATGTTAACACCATAGATGTGTACATCCCTATGTTGTGGCCCTTTACTGATAAAATATTTACACTGATGTGTACATTTTTATTTAAATGTTTTTTAACTTTTTTCTGTTGATGTTGAACACCAGATTTTTATTTCATAAATTCAATTTTTATCTTTACTATAACAGTAACAACAACGAAAAAAATACCAAACAAACTATGTAAATTAGTGGTTTACAACAACGAAGGCTATACAAAACGTGGCGGACAGCAAAAAAATCTATTTACACGTTTTAGGTTTATGACCAAACGAAAAGTAAATAAAAATGTTTGTTTCGGTTTACCACATCAGAATAACAGCACGAGCATGCCGCAATTGTAAATACAGTGGGTGGACGTTATAACAAACATATTGGATACGTTCGAATTAAATAAAAACAAAAAAAACATTTTTTTAAAACCGATAATGGGAGTGAGTTTTAGACTTCCTAATAAGGCTCGCAATATTTTAGATAGAGATTGAAAAATTTGCATATACATTGTTATTACCCCGAGGATGTTTGGTACACCACGTTTTGGTGTAGCCCCCACATAACGGAGCCCATCAATATTCGTTATTTTGGGGATTTTGGACACGTTTTCCGACCGAAATGGCTATAATATGGTATTTTGGGGTTTCATTCTAAATCACACTTCCGCACTAAAAATTCGAAGAAGGCCCCATATAACGGTAACGCCAAATATTCGGTATTTTGGACACGTTATTCAACGGAATTTATTGTAATTTGCTATTTTGGGTTCTCATTGAATATTTTGTTGATTTTTATGCGTTTTTAACCGAATTGGCGGTTATTTGATATTTTAAGTTTCAAATTTTTTCAGCAGAATTGGCTGTAATTTGGCATTTTGAGTTCTGATTGAGTATCTCTTTACCAAAAATTCTCAATATTGGGCCACTTTTTATGATAGCTACCATATAAAGCTAACCCCCCTTTATTCGATATTTAAGGAAGTATGGGTCCGGTTGTCTTATGCGAATTGGCTGTAATTTGATCCCTAGAGTTCTCATTGGATAGTAAATTTCCCTACCAAAAATTGTAAATATCGGTCTACTTTTTAGGATATCCCCTATATAATGGTACATTAAAAGTTCGGTACTTTGGCGAATTCCGACAGGGTTTTTATCCAATTGGATGTAATTATACCCTATGTTGCCAGGGTATTACAGCTTTGTGCAGCCCCAAGAGTTTGTAACGCCGCGAAATATTGGCCCTAAACCCATCTTTAAGTATACCGATCGTCATATCTCGATTAGCTGAGTCGATCTAAACATGTGTGTCCGTCCGTCCCTCTGTCCATTATATTTTGTAAACACGATACAGCTACAATTATCGACCAATCTTCACGAAATTTTGCATGGCCAATGAAGACTCCTATTGTTTTGATAAAGATCGGTTAATATTTAGGGGATGAAATGGACCAAATACTTAACTTTTGTCGGTTTTTCTGGTCGCTCCACAGGTCGCAATTATGGCCCAAACATCTCAATTTTTTTACATGGAGAAGGGGATCGGGTCAAAGAATAAGCATACATTTTTTGATAAATATCGCTTAATATTTAGCGGGTTAAATGGACCCTGACTTTTGTGTGAAAAATTACAAAATTTGTATTCTATAGTGTATAAATTTACCCCTGAAGGACATAGACCCGAAAAATTGATAGTATATCCAAGAGGAGTCGTTGCCCTTTAAATTGGTACCAATTATATTGTCGTATGTACTCGGATGAGGGAGATACACGTAAATATTTACAGGTGTTTACGTATTCATACATTATTTAGTAACCCACTACCACATTAGAGGGCCAAAATATAGCGCGGATCGCTTTGAATTTTTCTAAGAGGATCCAGGTTTGATCAAGGACAACGCCTATAATTTTCGGTGATGTCACATAATAATATTGGGATGAAGTGGACCGAAAACTCATTATTTTGTGTGTGTTTTTTTCGAGTGGATTTATAGGGCACATTTGAAAGCCGAACATTACAAAACAACCCAGGGTGAAACACAACCCTCTCAAAAATTATTAAAATTGTCCCATTTTTTTATAACCTCCATATCATGGTACCCCCTTATCTAACAATCCAGTACTACGGGAACGTTTTTAAATCTAATTCGCTCTAATTGTTTGTCAAATCTTAATACCTAACATTTATCCTGGCATAACCCATCATATATAAAAGTCCCGAACGTTTACAGGACCCTTCAATCAGATAATCTAATGGCATTTTTGGCTCTTACATCGTCTCCATACTAGTCTCTGCTCTCCAACTCGTCAAAATAATACATTTTGGCTTCATCTTTTGTGGTCTGAAGAAGGCTTTTAGTCTTCAGTTCGTATACATGAACATAAAGTTTTAACTATGCATACAAGTTTTATTTTTTAAGAATACTTCTTGATTTTCGGCGCATAAATATTCATTGACCTTCAGGTCTTTTACAATTTCCGAGACTTCAAATTATTTATCTGGCTTTCGGATAGCCTCTAAATATTTCTGGTTTTCGAAGAAACTCTTGGTCTCATAAAAACCCAACTAACCCATCTTTACTCCAGCTCGCTTACATAAAACAATTCTAAATTACTTTCAGAGTTCCTTTATAAAGCATTTTCAGGTCGCCTTTAAAGAAGTATTCAGGTCTTCATCTTCTTTTCATTATTCAGATCGAATACAGGGGATCCGCGACATTCAACTCATCTAAAAAAAAAAACGTTCTTTACTTGGTCTATTAAAATTTGTTGCTTCAGTTCATATGTAAATACTCCTCGTATATGACGACTACCTGTTCTATAAATACTCCTGTCATATCAGCTGGTCTATACAGACTTCTTTCTGGTAGTTTATAAAGATCTTCAAATCGTTAGGTTCATTTCAGTACAGACTACAAAGACTCTCTTCGGCATATCTATATACACTGCCTGATTTATAAAGGATATCTCCTTCTTTCAGACTTTGTCTATAAAGAATAACCTAAAATACTCTATTGTCTATAAAGAATGTCTGCTTAGGTTCGGGGATCCTCCCTCTATAAATAATTCTGTCCTTCAGCTCTTCCATAAAAACACTCTACAAATCGTCTACAAAGACTCCCGACCCTCAGCTGGTCCATTAAGATTCCCTCCAGTTCGTCTACAAACATCCTACAGACCTCGTTTATAGAGACACCCTCTGGCCAGTAAAAATATGCTGCCTTCGTCTATAGATAACTCGTCTATAGATATATAAAGCTCAGCACGTATATAAAGCTCATCTATATGGACTCCTTGTCTAAAGAGACTCTCACCAGCCCATCTAGTATAAAGACCGCATTCAGGTTCGTCTGTAAAGGCTCCTAATCAAAGTGCCTATAATTAGGTATTTGGCTTTCACAGATGTTTGAATATCCACTTCAAATTGGAGGGTATATTTCATTATGGAGCTTTGATATTAGGTTTAAGGAAGGATACTCGCCTTTTTTGAATAATTTCAGCAGTATTATTGATTTTTAGTTCTCGATGCAGGACGAACATTTTAGTTGTTTAACATGGGTCCACTCAATTCCAAGAATATATCGCCGAATATTTCTGTTGAAATTTTATATAGAATATTAAGGGTAGATTGCAAATCTCTTTTTATATTAAGGATCCCAAAAAAATTCAGTTTTTCGACTCGACCGGACATATCCATCATACCCTTCAACGCTCTGTGGTACAGGGTATTATGTCATTGTGCATATGTTTTTAACAGGCAGAGAGAATCGACATAGACCTATGGTTCCGTCCATTCATGTATTCTTGTGAACAGAACAGAAGAAGTTACTTATCTGGCTCGAGGACGAACTCAATTTAAATTGGAAGAAAATCGGTTCAGATTTAGATATAGCTCCCATAAATATTTTTGTCAGATGTCATCTAAATGATGCCCCAATCTCCCAATATTTATAGGATTGAGACAAAATTTTGCACAGCGTACTGAATTATGTGCAGTTTGATGTCTGTGAAGTGATGTTGAAATAGGTCCAGATTTAGATATCGATCCCATATGTATTTTCGTCAGATTTTCCCAAATGGTGTACCAAACTCCCAATATTTGTCGGAATGAGACAAAATTTTGCACAGCGTACAGAATTAAGTCCAGTTTGTTGTCTGTGAAGTTTTGTAGAAATCGGTTCAAATTAATATACAATTCTCATATATAGTTTCGTCTGATTTAATATTTGTCGGATTGAGACAACAAGTATACGAAGTTTTGTTGAAATCAGTTCAGATTTGGATATAGCTTATATATAGTTATGTCAGTTAAGTCCAAATTTATATATAGCTCCACACATAAGTTCGATCGATTTCATACACCTGGTTGACCAAAGAACCCAAGTCTGCCCGACAAGCATATCATTTTTCTTAGGTTTCAGACTGGTAAGTTTTGTGTTATTTTAAATTATTTCAAATGTCTATGTAGATCACACATCTATTTTCGTCCGATTCGATTTCAATGGTCCTCCAAAGATGATATGTTTGTTCTATCTACAGCATTCTATAAACATATCTTATATGTACCCAAAGTGATGAAGGGTAGTTTAGGTATAGTTTTGGTATATATTTAAGACAATGTTATACACCTTAAAATAACCTCCACCATTATTACCTTGCTAACTATATATTTACTTTCGATTTTTTTATGTGCGATAGGGTAATTTATATGTCCCTCCCCTTCATGACACACAAATGATAAAAATGATTTGTAATCTATCTTCTTCTTCGTAATTTTTACAAAACGACTAAATTCGTTTGGCAAATAATTTATAATTGTGTTTATTTATTTTTTTTCTGCTGCAGGTTGGCTTCAATGCTGGTAATGGCACGCGATCCTACGAATACAAACCGTACAGTCAAAATATGGTGATACGTGATTTGACTGGTCGTGGATGGGGTAATGGTTTCCCTGGACGTCACATTTTCCGTTTGGATGAGGAGATTTTAATTGGGTCGTGTAACAAGGATATTGGTAAGCTGTGATGGCATTTTTTGCAGTTTTTTTACATAGATAGTCATTAAGAAAACAAAAAAGAAGAAGCAGCAAAAAAGTGTGACAAAAATGAGGGTAATAAAGCAAAATAGGACAATGCGTTATAATCCCTCATTCACACACTGGCACTCAATCACTCACGGCGCTGGCTTTATTAGTCTTCTTCTTTCTCTGCTTTTTGTTGAGTGTTTGGCTTACGATTTTTCATTCATTGTTCTTCTTGCTGTTGGCCAAGATTAACCTTTATTATTTTCTATTCTTGTTGTTGTTGTACGACTACTATAGATGCTGCCATTCTACCTTTGACCTTTGCCCCCGAATCTGGCAACATGCTGGGCGGCACCGTTGTCAACATTACCGGCCCCTGCTTTGATCCCAATGTACGTGTCATGTGTCACTTTGATACGGAAGATGTACTTGGCCAATATGTGGATAGAAATCGTGTCATCTGCGTACAGCCATACCTGAAGGCCGAGGGCTATATACGCTTTGAAATTTCCGTTGGTAATGAGCGTTTTAAATGGCGTGGTAAATACTTTGTAGGTAAGTGAAAAACTCTGTGAAAGCTAAAACGAAAGAAATGAGGGATATTGGAGGGTGGCATACTAAATCCCGCAAACAAACAACGACGAAAAAACTGATGTTTGTTTTTTTTTATCTGGCTAATTTGTGATACGGAGCTTATTTTCTACTTTTTCTTATTTCCTCTTCCTTTCTCTTCCTCCCCTCACAAAAATAGAAACACCTGCGGCTGCCACTGAGAAAATCTTCTTTGAAACCGATGATGTCCACAAAAAAGCCCCCAAGGAAATTCGCATTAATTGGAATGCCTACAATTTAACCTCAAATGCCAATGCCAATATTATGATATCCCTGTGGGGCTATCGTGAAACCACAATTCAGTAAGTAAATCAATTCACACCACTCATAAACATTAACCACACGTATTTGATTTAATTTTGTTTTCGATTCTCTTCCAAACAGTCCCCAATTGGAATATATTGATGTCATTGAAGCATCGGCCAGTAATACCGGACACTATATTATTTCGCCACAAAACTACATCAACCGCAATAACATTAACAACGATCTGCAATTTGGTTTCATTCAAATCAATTTAACCGATCCACAGCAATATAATAATTTGAAAATCAGTCCGTAAGTATTCAATGGACAGCTAAAATTTGGCCTGGTCATCATGTTGTGTTGTTGTTGTTGGTCATTTATTTCTTGTTTCATATTTAAAATTTCATTTCCATTGCAATTTAATTTTCCTAATGGAATTTCAATTTGTATGCAAGCATTTATCTATTTGCCTCTGTGTGTGTATGTGTGTGAGACTGAGTTTTATATTTTGTAACCACTGCTGTGTGAGATTTTTATATTATGAGGTTTGTGTGTGTGTATATGTTTATGCCCACGCCTCCCTCCTTTTGGCAAATGTGGTTGCAATGAGTGTTGTACTTTTTTTGTTATTACTTCTGGTTTTGAAATCCAATGGCCATCATCTATATTATTGGTAAGCATTTTATTGCAATAAATATCTAAATGGTAGTAATGAAAGCCAAAGCATGTTTTTGAAAATAATATAAACTGAAATATACGAATCGAATAGCATTTTTTATAGATGAATCATAAAATTGTTGTGTCCCACCCACTCCCACTCCTCGAAGACCACAATAAATGCCCTTTTTGTGGCAAATAAAAATTTAAAATAGATATAAAAATTAAGCCTGGACTTTAGGGTATTTTTAGTAAGAAGTGCGTTATAAAAAAAAAATAAACCATATCCGCAGATAACAAGGCAATGTTTTGTAGTATTTTCGAAAAACACAAATATTACATTTAGTGCCTATATCAATCGTTCTTGAAAAAAAGAATGTTAAGAAATTTAGTATCAATATACATTTAGTATCAATATACATATTTTTTTATCATGAATATAAACAAATATAAGAAATTTTATATTGAAAGGACACACGATTGACCCGTCCCTCCTTGTATATGTCTGTCGATGTACTATTATAATAAACATATTTATTGTTTAATCAAGATGGTTTTTAATCGGAAACAGGACTTTCACAAAGCTGGAAACTAGGGAAGATATTCACCGATTGGATTTATTCTAGTTCATATAATATTTATGTAGGTCCAGAATAACGTGTTAAAATTTGGAACAAATCTAATTGGTTCCAAATTAGTTGTTGAGTTATCGCGATTAAAGAAACACGTTTGCCGTCGCTTGATGCGGCCATATCTTCAAGGGTTGTTGAGATTTCCCTTGAAATTTTAATGAGACATTTTTGAGAAATTGTAGATTCATATGAAATTAAAATAAAATAAGTAAAATCGATGTTAAGTTCCTCCACCATGAGGATGACAATCAAAATATCTAAAATTAATGTTATGATAGGACATACCATGGTACAATAATACAAGGTAGGGAAGTTTGTGGTGAATAACAAAAAAGCAACTATGCACGTGTGACTCCTTCTGCCAAAAATAAAATAAATTTACGCAACAAGTGTTTGTGATTATTTGACATTTTTTCAACAAAAAACTAAAAACGTGAAAGATGAATGAAAGGATATGATTTCTTTCCAAAATTCAGTAGGGAATACCATAAAATGTGTGTTTCATCCATAACAAAGTAATTACTTCCAGACGAACGTATTAAAAACATCATTTCAATTAAACTTGAATATATTTCAATTTATTTTGAATTTATTTGACATAGCATTCAAAACAATAAGCACACATACACAAAATATGTATTAGTTCCGTTCCAGAACCTACAAGAATCAACTCATTTTACATGTTTTCCAACTTTTTACTCGAAAACCGTTCCTCAACCCACAAAACTGGTAAAACATTAACTCAAATTTAAGAGAGCACAAAACAAAATGGCGTTCTCTTTGAAAACTTTTTACTCGAGAAATTTGGTCGAGTAAAAATGGTAAACAGGAATGCCTACTTCTGATTGGCTGTTATGTTGAGTTTGAAGTATTGCCATCTAATTTTGGCATATATACTAGATTTGCGTTCCCGAACTTTTTAAATTATTTTTTACTCTGAGAGCAATTTTGAAATGTTTCCCTTTTACTAGATTTACTATTAAAAAAGTACTGGAACAGACCAATTTTGATTCGATTGAACAAGCCACCTTGAGAAAAAATTGTAATCAGTTGGTAGCTGTGCCCTACCTTGTAATTATTATAACATGGGACATACCAAAAAATACGAGAGAAAATATGATTGAAATTCTTAAAATATATTATGTTTTCCGTTATATATTAGGTTGGGAAAAAGAAATTCATTATTTTTATATGAACTATAGGACTTTATTTAACATTCTTCTGAATGTTCGATCCACCGTTTTGTTGTATGATTTGCTGCCAATTTAAAGGTAACTTTATAATGCCTCTCTCATAGAAGTCCTTATCTATATTTGCAAAAAAACTCGTAGTCGTTTTTCACAATTTTTTATCATTAAAGAAATTTTGCAATGCAAGAAAAAGATGATGGTGGATGCCACACACACATCTACTTCACTGTAGATGTGTGTGGACTAGTGTTGTCCTGGTGGAACACGACACCTCTCCCGTTGGCCAATTATGGACGTTTCTGGTCAATTGCTATATTCCAGTTATTGACAGTGGAGATCATAATTTAGCGTTTGGCCATATGGAAGCAGCTCATAATAAATAACCCCCTTCCAGTCCCATTAAATGCATAGCAGAACCTTCCTGGTTGTTAGTCCTGATTTTGGCACAGGGTTATCCGTTTAAGAAATGGATCTATTTCATTTCGTTTGGCCAAGGCTTCGCTGATGGAAATTCGATCAATCCTATTTTTTCTGTTAATTGGTGTGGCACACCAAACATCGAGCTTATTTTTGAATCCAGGTTTATGGAAATGGTTTTATGGTCGATTTTTAGCTCCTGGGCTGGACTGCTGATTTGCCGGTCAACTTCGATCATTTTTCCGATTTTATCGACATTTTCGATGACCGGCCTAATGGATTTCTTTTTCCCCAATATAATATATAATAAAACCGAGAACAATATTGATATTTTTGGTAGTGAGATTTGAAAGCCAATGACAATAGAAAATACGAAATTAAACCAATTAAACGCATCCAAAATTCTCAATTAAACCAATTAAACGTATCCAAAATTCTCAAAATACCGAAAATTAATAATTTTTAATGCGGAGATGCAGTGGTTCCGTTATGAGATCCCAAAATATCAAATTAGAACCAATTTAACCAATTTTGAGGGAGGTACCATTAACGTGGGTCAGTATTAATTTCAAAAGACGTGGTTTCGTGGTTTCTAAAGACGGACAGACAAGGATGCCTAAATCGACATAAAATTTTATTATGATCATGAATATACTTTGTAAGGTCTATAGTGAATTCTTCGAGGTGTTGCAAACAGAATGATTGATTTTTAAAAAGCTCGAAAAGGGGTTTTGGATATGGCGTGAAAACCATGAATCCAATTATTATCTATAAATAAACAAGTGGAGGCAAATTTGGGAACATTTGACTTTCAGCGATAGCACCGCTGGTAACGTAAGTACTTCGATTGTTACATTACATTTGGGTATGAAAGATTTTTTGTAAAAATAAATAGATTCTGGGGAGATTATCCCAACAAAAAACTAAAGGAACTGATGATGATCAGTGGCTAGATCCGAAACTATAGTCTTCGCTGCCTTACACCTCGGCGGATAATGCCCATAAAGTCATTTTTTTAAAACACGTCGCACAGAAAAGTAAATTTCTTAATAAAACTCTTCAGAAGTGCAAAGAAATGGTCGGGACCTTTATAAATTGCAGTTAATAAAGTTTTTACTCTCTGACAAAACAAAATGCCAAATAACTCACTCCTGCTGCACATTTTGTGCTAGGGCCCGAAGAGCATCTTGAAAATTTGAATGACTTGGCTTTATTATATGAGAGACATATACCTGCCCTGAATATTTCCTGTTTCTTACCATCTCAAAAATCCTGTATACCGAATTGTAGCCACATATTGAGTCGATCGACAAATTCGCAGCCACTTTGGCTGAAGAAGACTATCAAAATATTAAGAATCTGTCGAGACCTGCATAGAGACACTTTGGCAAAAAATTACCTATGTATATTGAAAAGTGTATGCAAGAACACTCCAAAAACAATAAATTCCAAACTACTCCCACTTCGGATGAAAATGCGGATAAATACATCAAAATAACGAAAATAAGACGATACTGTTTAATGTGGATGTACTAAATATTGAACATCATTTGCGAAGATGATTTCATCAAATTACAGTAACATCGGTTGGAAAATGCATTTTACACCATCAGAAAGAATACTTGAAATTTGGTTGGACGTATATATGCTGGTTATGTTAAAACATGGACCTACATTGATCATTTTCTGCACAGATATTTGCCACGCCCTTAACTGGCGAAATAGAATTTTAGTATAGGGTATTTGGGTTTATCATATATAGTTATAGCATACATACATGTTGGATCCAGCAATGAAACTGGATCTGTCCGACAATCATGAAATATATAAAAGAGAGGACCTGTTAGATATAACTTCTGTATTGCTACAACTCGACCATGAAAATCATTATCTTCAAAAATTAAAATATATAAATTCGAAATGGGAAAGGTTTTAATTAATAACTATCTTGCCCCTTTTAAAACAATTCCTCTACTTTGCCGGAGTCCAATCTTCGAAGCACTTCTGATTTTAGGTTGAGTGAAAATTTCCTTATGAGGACATAAGCCATTGGCGAGTATTAAGTACCTAGAAGGTAATTCGCCATAGGTCAAGTTTTTGAGTTATGGCTGACTGAATTTTTCACTGGTAACTCTACAGTTAATGAAGAAAAAGATTTACATCTTTGTTTGCGGTTATTTTTGAGTATCTCTTCAATTAAATATAATGAGGACTTTACTTTAGGAAAAAACTATCCTCATTCCATCTCGAGGCATTGTTCGTCTTTTTCATCCTTAACTTTTTGCACCGTAAACTAAATATTACCTCAAAATATTGACCTTTTTGGCTTACACTCGTCAATAGGGTTTTCCATGAGGTCAATTTTGTACCACAGCGTAATAGACTCGTCAAACTCCTCGACGTCCTTAATAAATGT